TTAATAGTCTTTATATTTAGTTGTATGTGTTTTGTATTCATATGAGTAAATTTAAACAAAAGTTTTTAGTACTGACAACATTGTACTACAACATTTACACATTCATTAAGGAATATTCATTGTGCCAACATGTTTTGCATACATACTAGAAAGTATAACAAAGGCTACACCATTTTCAGAAAAATTTGTTTAAATTTTACTATTAAAGTTTCTTTAAGGCTGTGAGAAATGGTGTAATACTTATTATTTTAAATATGAATTTAGTGAATATGTGTAATTTGAACATGAGATACATTTGAAAATTTTGAAAATATGTCAATATTTTATCCGAGAGTTCGAAGAATTAGTTAGTTAGTTAGTTAGTTAGTTAGTAAATTAGTAAGTTAGTAAGTTAGAAAGTTAGAAAGTTAGAAAGTTAGAAAGTTAGTAAGTTAGTATGTTAGTAAGTTAGTAAGTGAGTAAGTTAGTAAGGTAGTAAGGTAGTAAGATAGTAAGGTAGTAAATTAGTAAGTTAGTAAGTTAGCAAGTAGCAAGTTAGCAAGTTAGTAAGTTAGTTAGTTAGTTAGTTAGTTAGTTAGTTAGTTAGTTAGTTAGTTAGTTAGTTAGTTAGTAAGTTAGTTAGTAAGTTAGTTAGTTAGTTAGTTAGTTAGTTAGTTAGTTAGTTAGTTAGTTAGTTAGTTAGTTAGTTAGTTAGTTAGTTAGTTAGTAGTTAGTTAGTTAGTTAGTTAGTTAGTTAGTTAGTTAGTTAGTTAGTTAGTTAGTTAGTTAGTTAGTTAGTTAGTTAGTTAGTTAGTTAGTTAGTTAGTTAGTTAGTTAGTTAGTTAGTTAGTAGTTAGTAGTAGTTAGTTAGTTAGTTAGTTAGTTAGTTAGTTAGTTAGTTAGTTAGTTAGTTAGTTAGTTAGTTAGTTAGTTAGTTAGTTAGTTAGTTAGTTAGTTAGTTAGTCAGTTAGTTAGTTAGTTAGTTAGTTAGTTAGTTAGTTAGTAGTTAGTTAGTTAGTTAGTTAGTTAGTTAGTTAGTTAGTTAGTTAGTTAGTTAGTTAGTTAGTTAGTTAGTTAGTAGTTAGTTAGTAGTTAGTTAGTTAGTAGTTAGTTAGTTAGTTAGTTAGTTAGTTAGTTAGTTAGTTAGTTAGTTAGTTAGTTAGTTAGTTAGTTAGTTAGTTAGTTAGTTAGTTAGTTAGTTAGTTAGTTAGTTAGTTAGTTAGTTAGTTAGTTAGTTAGTTAGTTAGTTAGTTAGTAGTTAGTTAGTTAGTTAGTTAGTTAGTTAGTTAGTTAGTTAGTTAGTTAGTTAGTTAGTTAGTTAGTTAGTTAGTTAGTTAGTTAGTTAGTTAGTTAGTTAGTTAGTTAGTTAGTTAGTTAGTTAGTTAGTTCGATATATATTCCAAGTTTTTAGATTGGAAGACGATCAAGCCAATTGTTTCTTGACTGAACTAAACTGTTTGAAAGGCCCTATTTTGGATATCACTCTGATACGACCCATGTTGTGATCGTGGGTATATAAGATTCGACACAAACGAATCGAACAATTCAATCCATTTTTTCTTTTTTGGTTTTCATTTCATTGTATTTTATCGATATTTTTCCATTTGTTATTCTGTGACAAAGCCATTGTCATGTGAATATTAATGTACAAAAAAATCACCAGACTATAGATAGTTAGTTAGTTAGTTAGTTAGTCAGTTAGTTAGTTAGTTAGTTAGTTAGTTAGTTAGTTAGTTAGTAGTAGTTAGTAGTTAGTTAGTTAGTTAGTTAGTTAGTTAGTTAGTTAGTTAGTTAGTTAGTAGTTAGTTAGTTAGTTAGTTAGTAGTTAGTTAGTTAGTTAGTTAGTAGTTAGTTAGTTAGTTAGTTAGTTAGTAGTTAGTTAGTTAGTTAGTTAGTTAGTTAGTTA